TTATTTATTTATTTTGAAATGATGAAACATATTGATGAAATAAGCAAATATATATTTTTAATCATTTTAATCTGTTAAATTATTTTTTAAATTTTCATGCCAACTTTTAATTATATATAAAATAGTGTAGATATATATTTATAAAATTATCCAAAATTTGACAAAATAATCGAAATTATAATAGGTGATCTCGTTAAAAGTCATTCATCTGACCCAAACAAGACGATATAATTTATTCATATTACTTATAGTTTTAATCGAATTTATAATATATTTATATTTTCAAGACACAATTACATGCAAATTTATTTCATATTTAAAACAATTAAAAATAAAAACAACATTTATGCTAACTATGCCAATATTACCACTTATGTATATCTCTACATTTGTTATGTAAGCCATACATTTGTATCATAATCATTGTGACGAATAAGAGATGGAAAAGGTAATATCATTAAATTTGCATTACAATTCTATTCGGAATAATTGCTTATTAAATTTTTCAATCGTAAAAGATGGTTAGCCATATTGTCTTAAGTTCTATATTATGTTATGGATCTCAAAAAGATCTCTTCACACAAAAAATCTCTTGATCGAAGTCCTTAAGAATGACTCTTATCCGATTCCAGTTCTTCAGATATGAGATGTCAGGAATAAAATACAAAGTTAACAAAATTCATTTGTATAAAACTCTCATTTAACTTTCCTAATGTAAAGTATTCATATTATATTAATTACATAAAAGATTAATAATTAACAAAATTCGATTTTGTGGAACTTTTTAAATAAAAATATCGCATAAAAATTAATTTACGGCTAACTACAAAATCTAGATCTATTCTGTAAATTTTTAAATCAAATTACTAATTAATAAGTCAAATATATAGGCTATATATACATTTTTAAAGTTATTTAGAACGTAATGTAATTGTAAACTAAAGTACATTACTTTTTCTAAGTCTAAAAATTTAAAAAAAAATCGGTTATTAAAAATTAGTCATTTTGATTTTACTATTTTTCATTGCAAAAAATCTCAGGTATTAAATTTCGGTGAATGAATCTTATGTAAATGAATAAAAATCTGGATTAAAAAAATGTTAAAAAGTTAAGCGATTCCTCTAATAAATTCTATTTCGAAGGACACGACAACTAAGCAACTTGTTGTTACGTGTACCAATAGATAAATAATTACACGTCATGTGACCGATTATGTCATTAAAATAGTAGAAAAACTGCTTAAACTGGTTTTCCGTTCGAATAGACTATTTAAATTTTATAAAAGTCGAGTTTCTTACTTGATCCGTTTATTCCGTTCATTCTTATACTTAGCAGTGGAATATTTACGGATATTTTTTGCATGGTTATTAATTTATATTATTAAAAACAATAGCAACCAACAATCATTTAACAAAATTTCTGTTTTATTAGTATTCGAGAAAACTATTGCTTTACATGTAAGCAATAATTAGATGTAATTTACGATATTTAGACAATAACTTAGACCTAAATAAATTACAATACAACAAGGCACAGNTTTATTGTTAAAATTATTTATATATTTATAAAATTATCCAAAATTTGACAAAATAATCGAAATTATAATAGGTGATCTCGTTAAAAGTCATTCATCTGACCCAAACAAGACGATATAATTTATTCATATTACTTATAGTTTTAATCGAATTTATAATATATTTATATTTTCAAGACACAATTACATGCAAATTTATTTCATATTTAAAACAATTAAAAATAAAAACAACATTTATGCTAACTATGCCAATATTACCACTTATGTATATCTCTACATTTGTTATGTAAGCCATACATTTGTATCATAATCATTGTGACGAATAAGAGATGGAAAAGGTAATATCATTAAATTTGCATTACAATTCTATTCGGAATAATTGCTTATTAAATTTTTCAATCGTAAAAGATGGTTAGCCATATTGTCTTAAGTTCTATATTATGTTATGGATCTCAAAAAGATCTCTTCACACAAAAAATCTCTTGATCGAAGTCCTTAAGAATGACTCTTATCCGATTCCAGTTCTTCAGATATGAGATGTCAGGAATAAAATACAAAGTTAAAAAAAGTAGTAAATAAATAAAATGTCTTCTCTTTAAGAATTATGTAATTAAATTAAGAACGAAAGGAGAAAGGAATGAAATTACCTAAGTATTTGTGTTTTTATCCTCGTAAAGAAAATTTAGGTCTAGTGAACTAAAAGCTTTTCAATCGAGCGATTGATCCGGTCNACACAAAAAATCTCTTGATCGAAGTCCTTAAGAATGACTCTTATCCGATTCCAGTTCTTCAGATATGAGATGTCAGGAATAAAATACAAAGTTAACAAAATTCATTTGTATAAAACTCTCATTTAACTTTCCTAATGTAAAGTATTCATATTATATTAATTACATAAAAGATTAATAATTAACAAAATTCGATTTTGTGGAACTTTTTAAATAAAAATATCGCATAAAAATTAATTTACGGCTAACTACAAAATCTAGATCTATTCTGTAAATTTTTAAATCAAATTACTAATTAATAAGTCAAATATATAGGCTATATATACATTTTTAAAGTTATTTAGAACGTAATGTAATTGTAAACTAAAGTACATTACTTTTTCTAAGTCTAAAAATTTAAAAAAAAATCGGTTATTAAAAATTAGTCATTTTGATTTTACTATTTTTCATTGCAAAAAATCTCAGGTATTAAATTTCGGTGAATGAATCTTATGTAAATGAATAAAAATCTGGATTAAAAAAATGTTAAAAAGTTAAGCGATTCCTCTAATAAATTCTATTTCGAAGGACACGACAACTAAGCAACTTGTTGTTACGTGTACCAATAGATAAATAATTACACGTCATGTGACCGATTATGTCATTAAAATAGTAGAAAAACTGCTTAAACTGGTTTTCCGTTCGAATAGACTATTTAAATTTTATAAAAGTCGAGTTTCTTACTTGATCCGTTTATTCCGTTCATTCTTATACTTAGCAGTGGAATATTTACGGATATTTTTTGCATGGTTATTAATTTATATTATTAAAAACAATAGCAACCAACAATCATTTAACAAAATTTCTGTTTTATTAGTATTCGAGAAAACTATTGCTTTACATGTAAGCAATAATTAGATGTAATTTACGATATTTAGACAATAACTTAGACCTAAATAAATTACAATACAACAAGGCACAGTAATCATTAAATTAGCATCCGTTCGGGTTTTACTAATTAATAGCGCCTCAATTGCTCAAAATGCCCTTAATATATTAAGTGTGCGTTATGGAACGATCAAAGACTCCTCTTCGTATAAACCCAATTTATCAACTTCTTAACGAAATTTTATTCCACGAAAGGTTTTTTTCTATTTTTCTATTTTTTTTTTATAATCTTAAAATCGAAAGAATTATAAACGATTATTCATAAAAATGTTAAAACAAGGGTAGTGTATGTTTAATGTAGTTTTCAATTATCATTACTCATGAAACTTTGATAAAACTAATTTTAATTATGGTAAAATATAATCTATAATTAGGAAATTAATTTTAGTAGTAAAAATTAAAAAGTTAAGAACTGGCATCTTACTTAGCAGATAGTATGTACTTTTTTTTAACATTTTTTTTTCAAGAATATCTTTCAAATCATTTTCAATCCGATACGTAAAAAAGTAAGAGTGCAATTTTTTCACGGTATTGATTACAAGTAAAGAGAATCGATGTTTTCTGTCTTTATCGATCTTTATCCCGAACTCAGTCTGAAGACTTATATGACATAGTACGTACGCTTCCATATCATCACCCGTCTCGTTATTTCCTCCCCTTATTCAAATTTCCTCATTATGCAGAATAAGGACGGAGATGCATGATATCCGTATCGAGAGGTCCGAATCGCTTAATGAATCTCTATCCGATAGTCATGCTTCTTTATACTAATAATATGTTATCTGATTTGTCGCTCTAACAAGAAGTGAAACAATTCTTTTTCATGAAAACAATACTTATTTTCTCTCTCTCATACAAGCGTCTCTTCGACTCGTTTCCTATATAGGTTGGTATGATGAATGAATCTTGCAGGAAAAGTAAAACTTCAAATCAAGTCGTATCATATCCACAATCATTTTCCACAAGTCATTAAATACTACGAAAAGGAACAACCGAAGACGAAATAATTAATAGCTACGTATCGAAATTTTTTTTGCAAACATTTTATTGTTAAAATTATTTATATATTTATAAAATAACTAACTTAAAACAAGATTTACGTTATAAAAGTTTCTTCATAATAGCATCCTTACAGAGAAAGAAAAGTTTATCTTTTTGAAATTTAGGTCGAAGGGTGTAAAGATAATTTATCCGTATTGTAAACGCGTTTTATATCAAATTTCTTGCTATATTTTAGTTAAAAAATGAATAAAATAAGTTCTAGAGTCGATTTGTTTTCGATTATTGCTTCATAAATACAAGGTTCTACAGTAAAATGACAAAAATCACAAACCCTCTTTGCATTATTATGCAAACATTTTTATTACAAATGCTCAATCGATTTGCATCAAACAGTATTCAACGATACAATTTTAAAAAGCTTATTTCAGTCAATTTAATTTTAATTTGCTTATTTTAAATACTTATTTATTTTTACCACAAAAAATTGTTCTTACATAATTTTATTGTTTACAATTAATTTGAAAATTTAAGCCATTCTTTCAAACTGTTTGTCACGAAAAATTTTATTTGATAATTATCTTATAGTTGGATAAAATGCAAATTGCACTTTATTTCGTCAATAGAATTAAAAATCTGCATATTCGAAATTCTTTCTTACGGAAATAAAGCACAGTATAAAATGATATTAGAATTTAGCCACGAATAACCACGAATACGAGAAAACAGTTTATAAATTGCGCAAAAATTGTCATTTTATAATGGGTATTATATTGCTAAATTTCGAATACGATTATAAAAATTAGAAAAATGCCGACGATTCGCGCCAGTCCACGCTCGTCCCTTTCAAGCGATACATGTTTCTCGTAAGCTAAGCAAACTTAAACGATCGTCTTTACAGCGCTACATCCGCCGGTCGTAGCCGTGACGTCATTAAACTCAGCCCGACACTCTTTCACGCTATTGGCAGTTATCGTTGGATCACGTGACACGGACTGCCTACCCAGCACCCCCGGCTCGGGAATGGACGACGCTAGAGCTGGGCTGTCGCTCGAACTCGAGTTATTGGGAGTCGTTTATACGTTCCATGACACTCCGACCGAACAGGTACTGAATTGCGTCGACGGTAAGAGACCTTCTGACTGGGAAGTTAACGGCGTACGATTACTAACCCTACCTACTGCAGCAGACGACAGCAGACGAGGCTTCCTGGCGAGACGGAGAAGCAGACGAGTCGCAGTTCCTCGGGTGTGTTAGCACGTCCATCGACCACCTCCTCAATGGATTAAAAAGTGGATTGTTTCTATCCTGGATTTATCGGAATGGAATGCAATTGTTCAGGGTACTGCAGCCACCGTGCTGGACTGGCCGGCCGGAGGTCGTGACACTACCATCTAAGCCTAGGCAACCAGGAAGTAACGGGCTCGTCAGCCTTTTGTTTCATCCGTATCTTTATTTTACAAATTTCATGTTCAGGTGATTACTTTGGAATAACGTTAAGCCATTTGTGTGATTTCTTTCCATTGTCCGATTGACATGTCGTGGACTACTTACACCAAAGTCGAGGTGGCTCAACCTCAAACGTCGTCGGGATCAATTAAAGGTGAGTACCTCTTCACTTCCGGATATTCGACTCGGAATTCCGTCTGTCGTTGCAAGCGCTGCTCTGTGCACGTGCTCTGCCAGATGGCGTTTCTCACGTGCGGCTCTCATTTTGTTGATCCTACATACAAGCAACGTAAGTTGCGGCTTGGTCTGTCAGTTGTTCTTTCCTTCTACTTAGGATCTAAAAGTTTACATTGATTTCCGCTAATAATTACTTTCCCATTACGGAGAGAATGCTCTTATCTAATTTTATTTACCGATAAGGATGAATATATACAATGCAACCTATTAACGGCCAGATATACTCAAAAACAGCATTTCTACTTCGTCTTGCTAGCCATTCCAATGGCTCCAATCTTCTAACCCCCAACCGGCACGGAAGGGCTCGCCGCGTGTTCCATGCATTTTCTGGTCAAGAAGACCTTCCGGCCCAAAACCAGTCTTGTTTGTGTCTGATAATACACCTGCCAGGTAACAATACCAGTGTGGTATAGTCTAATGCCAGAACAGTATTTTTATCAGTAGCTTCTTACTCATCTATTGCTGCTAGCAATACTCTGCTAACATTCGCTCTTCAATTGCTATCAAAAACGCAGCTGTGGCTAGCATATTTGGTTTTGAACTAGAACTAAATACGTGTAACTCAAATTAAAAGTGTAATATTTCAAAATACTTCAACTTACACCACAATACTTTCTCGCGAATTAACTATTTTCATTATTTTGAAAAAAAAGATAATTTAATTAGTTAAATTCGTAAAATTCTCGAGTTAAATCGATAATTTGAAGAACACGAATATAGACAACTGCTTGTTTGTAAGTTCTTGGCATTTATATTATATACATGTTGAGAACCGAAATTTTAGCCGGGTTGTTTTGGAGAAACGAAGAAGCGCAATGAGTGAGTTATTTATTCCACATCTGATAGTCACATGTGTAAAATGGCTGATGGTACAGTACATCGACCACATGACCGAGGAGTGCGCTAGGTAACTGTACTTTACAGTTTTACGCTACGTTTAGTTTCCGGTTTATACGTTCTTCCTTTATCCAGCTATCGACTAAAATAATCTCAGTTTCTGACATTTTGCCAGAGCCCATTCTCTGGTATGAGAGACATCCTAATACGCTCGTGCAGTGTGCACGGGTTCGTCTTACCCCCTTTACTGTCGCTCTCCCTCTATCGGCCGTCTCCGTAACTGCGGGTCATCTCCGAGGCGTGTCCCTATCCACCCATTCTCGGCGCCACCTCTCGTACGACAAAGGCCATTGCCGATCGGAATTAAGATGGAGAAAATAAAGGAAAAAATCTCATTTTATCGGGAAAATAATTCTTGGACTGAGAAAAAACAGGCGCGCAATTGTCGGAGAGGGTTTGATAGGGCATCAGAAATAAGTCGCCCGACTTCGACTGCAGTCAGGCACTTTGCCAAAATCGTCTTCTGACGCCCAAATGTCTTCGTTTTTTGTAACGTAAATACGGAAATAACGAAATATTTTGTAACGGGATCCAGATATTCGTGTTGATTTACGTAATCGAGCGAATATTACTGCTGAATGAAACTCTCCATCCAACGATTGAGCGCGATTATCAAACAGATAAGTAGCTTACTGTTCCGGTGATTGTCTTAGCCATTCTCATTCTCGATTCACTCGAGGTAGTCGTTCTTTGATCCTAAATATAGAAAAGAAGGATAATCACGTGACTTTCAAATATTCGTCTTCCGGAAACAAATACATTTGTAGAACGGGACCAAATCTTGAACCCGCTTTCTGTAGACGTTTAAGGCGCCGGAGTGACAATCTCCGCCGAAAATTACATCAGAATATGTAAAGGATATTCGCGCTTGTCAATTGATAGAAATTGAGGCTTTCCTGTTCGTACATTTTGCGCCTATTTAATTAGCCTATTTAATTTGGTTTTTGACATTATCCGATCCGAATCGTTCATCTGACTCTTGTTTAGGTTGCGAGTTTACTTTCCAATTGTTTCTGATGTAACGGGAATCGATAATAAGATTATTTTCGACTACACTACAAAACATAACAGCAACAAAATATATACTTCTGATTGAAATAACAAACTGACGAAAATATATATACAGTACGTAACATACGAAACTCCAATTTCGAAATTTTAAACTTTCTCGATTTCACCTGCAGATTATTTCATTTCTGTTTTCATGTCTCAAATATTTAACCTAATTATTTCTTTCATTCGCTTCTCCAATGTAATTAATAATACGCTTTATTTAGAATAAAAATTTTAGATTTGGTTCATTCACGAGATCGCATGCCAAAAACTAAGCCAAATGGCGATCCAACGATAGAAGAAAACCGCTCTATCCTTATTTAATTAAGGTTTCCAATCTTCCGAATATTAACCTTAAGAGAAAAATTTAATATTTCAGTTAAACGTTTCTTTTTTTTCAACATTTCTTGTTCTTGAATTTTTCAACTTTGGGATTCGTTTTTGAATGTTTTAGTGAAATCATTAAATCTTTTGACTTGTAAAATAGCTAATTGTTGGACACGTTTTGAACTCTCGGAATAGTAGTCTAAAACTTTCGAACTAAATTAAATTTTTAATGTTCATATATGTATATATATAAGTTCGTTTAAATTTACTCCGTGCACCCATATCTTCCTTATGTTGCTGATACTTCGACATAGGTCTCATTTTCCGGGAAATAGTTATTGTTGCCTAGCAACCACTATGGGCTTCTCAACCATAAATAAACTACTTTCAATGATATATTTTTCTTCGGTGTGCCATCAATATCTACCAAATATCTTTTTAGTTCTTAACTATAGGCCTATAGTGTCTGTTACATTCTTATCTCTAATAGATAGTTATTCAGGGAGTGAAAATTTCTTGTTAAATTTGCCAGAAAGTTCGCCTTATTATGATAAATTAATTACTTATTAACAATTAATTAATACAATTTATATTACGATGTTATATCGTGTTATATTGATTAAACAACGCGATTATTTTCAATACACAATGTTTATAATATCCAATTGTCGTTAGTTTGAATTCGAGCCGATTGCTTAATCGTTTGTTTTTTCAACGAAATCCTGTTTGATTTTTTATCTTTCGGCTTGCAACTAATAATTTAACTTATATTATTAATAAAATGAAATATTTTTTTTTAAGGAAAAGAGGCGCGGTCTTCTTAACTGTAAAAACTGGCCTCGGTGACACCCTGAAAGGTCTAATGGTAGAGTCTAATTATTAGTGGAGAACTCATTCATAAATCGATTAATAGTACGGAAGAATCTAAAAGTACTACAATGAACGTCATAATAATAACTAGTTAATTTTTCTGTGAAACTTTCCGATAAAACATACAATTCCACTCTAATAGCGAGTTGAAAATGTCCATCTAATTGTTTATAAATATTTACAATTTAAGTTATAAGAAATATCTCATTAGGAAATAAGAATAGAAAGTTTCCTGTTAATTCCAGAAGTCAATACCCTTGGTAACTGGACACTAACAAAATATTTAATCTGCAGATGCTAATTGCTGATTCGATACTTTGCAAATGGAAAAGTATTGTTCGAGAAGTTTGTCTACGTGTCGTTTAACCACGTCATTTTTTTACGAATAAGGGGAAAGTTACGTTTTTTATCAATCGGATGATGCCATTGTTTAGTATATCCGAAGGATGTTGTAATGCAAAGAAGGTGAACGACCTCTTGGTCGAACCTTTGCACTTCCAGTCAATTGGACGATCCCCTCTTTACAGCCTAATACCCTAGCTGCGAGTGGAACTGTCAAGTTTCGGATCGATTTATCCGTCAGAGGACGCGGTAAACAGGAAGTAGAGTAGGTGGAAATGACGTAGAGGAAGCGTATGCCCTCTTCCGCGTCTCTCAGTGACGTCATTTATCGTCTAAATAGGACCGATTCAAGATTTGACAAGTAAGCCGCATTTTGTATGATATCATTCTGACGGAAAAGCGGAGTCGACGCCATTTGCGCTCAACTACTCATTAAAAATCCTGGAAAACAGGTTTTCGCCGGAAATCAGAAACTCCGATAACGGGTCCCTCGTACCAAGAAAAAGTCATCTCGTCAGGATACGGAAGTGACTTAGGATACAAATCCGTGCTTTTTAATGATATAACAACTTTTTTTAATCACTTAAGGAAATAAATTTGACACGAAAAACGTAGTCACACGATATGAAAAGTTCAATATCAGTTTTTGCTTGATTTATCTTAAAGTCTTCCTTATCTACTTTGCACGATTTGCTTGAAACCAAGTTATTATTTCACAGGCGCATTTATTCAACACGTGAGCGTGTAATGTATTTAGATGACTGAAATCATTTCGATGACTTTATTTAAAGGCATTTCGATTCTTTCGAGAGATATAAGTAACGTGGATTTTATATATATATATATAGGATTGAATGAGCATTAGGCGTGAAGATAGCTATCTTTTTCACATATAAATAATTTGGCGGGAGAAAAAGAATTCCAGAGAAATTAAATTTTTATATAATTTATATTGGATTTTCGTAGCTTCCATGATTTTTTTCCTCGATAAGGGCATGTTGTTTTCAATTCGTATGACATGTCAGCTGGCGCTAATATAAAATGGAAATAATAACATTACGTATGAATATATTGTGAACGTAAGATAATTATATGTCTAGTTCGTTTGGACCTATCGCCTAACGACTTCATTTTCATCTGAAATTCTGCCTTAAGAAATATATTCTATTGCTACGAGCGAAATTAGAACAATCAACATTCTTGATAAGCCAACATACATCTCGCTACTAAGAGTTATTATTTCTGCTAACAGTTATTAACCAACCTGCCTCATTGCATCTTAACTATTTATTATATTTATAATAGTCTGGAACTTTCTGAGAATTGAAAATATAACAAATATCCGTAACAAACAGATTTGTGTTTCGTATTGGAAAATACATTCAAAGTTATCTCGATCTGTGGTGCGAAGATTTTAAAAGGAATTAA